TGGCGTCTCTGGGCATCTCTCCATATTATAACATTTAGGTAACTGCAGTATATTTTATCAAAATAATGTAAAAAAATAAAACTCTTGTTAAAGCTATAAAACTATGAGGTAGTTGATGCTTAACCAACAATGGAAAAAAATAATATTTTATCCGCACGACCGGTCTTGCCACCTCTGTAGTCTAAATTAACGTATTACGTATACATTTAAATATATACAAATATCCCATAGGCACGTGTATCGTAAATAATATATTATGCTTAATACTAACTATATATCGTATAGTGAGCCGTAGGACCAGTTTTTGGTATATTTTTTAAGATTCCGAACACGGAAAAAAAAATTAAAAAATATAGTTAAAATACAATATTTCATTTCGAATAACTATAATCACTTGACTATGATATTTTAGTAAATCTGACTAACTTTATAGCTATCACTATAGCAATTATAATGTACAGTCAATCCTACTATTTTTATAGTAGGTACAAACAACTGTTTTGTTTTTTCCGTGAAGAATATATTTGATCAAAACGATTGAAACTTGGAATATACTTATATACCTATATTATATCGTCTATTACGTCATATATTTTAAATACCCGCCTACTAGTGATTTTTTTTTTTAAGTTCTTTATACTTTTTTTTTGTTCTAAAAAATGATCCACTTTACCCTCATATGTGGGATGAAGTGTACCTGCAGGCATTTTATTTTCATTAAAAGCCATTTCAATTCTAGTTTTGAAGTGGACCACTAAATTGAATTTTTTTAAATAATTAGACCACATTTTTAGCAGAACAATTATTTTTCCCTGTTTATTCATAATATTTGCAACAAGCTAAATTTATAAATATAAAATTGTTATGAAATAATTTTCGTAAAGAAGTTTGATTTAATTTCACAGATTTAACTCCCAGTGTTAAATTTTGTTCAGTGTACTTCAAATTATAGCGACCAGTTTAATTTTTCCTGTGGCTTCTTGGTTTTGAAGGAGTCCTATTCATTCGACGTTTTTTAAAATTGTCTACAAATTGTTTAACCAAAAACTAAATAACAACAAATTTACAATAATTATAATTGAAATAATTAATTCATATGAACTTATTGATAAGATTGTTAAGATTGAAAATTTTCAATTTAGTTGCTTACTTTTGAGATATTAATTACTTTTTAAAGACTTAAAAATAAAAACAAAAAAGGTGAGTAAATGGATGTCGCTCTGCTGTACAGTATAGGTTACAAGTGGAACACTACTCACTGTATAATGGATGGTATAATTTGAATTCAATGATATTATAATATCATTGTATCGAAAAACGATTCTGAGTGGTGAAGGTTTGTCAATGTTGATATTTAATATTATACATATTTATATTGTTATTACTTATTATTAATACGGTAGCCGTTAAGTTGAATTAATATTATAAAATTACAACAAAATAACTAAAATCGTTATTCTTGGTTAGTTACTATTTAATTTCCCTCAAAATTTGAACATGAAATAACTTTAAAAAAATACTATGTTTTTATATTTTTGAAATTTTTTGGTTACAGAATAACCTACATACGTGGAACCTTGTTATAAGTTGTTAATCCTTACCTATAAAAGTTGAACACTTTATACATTTTTAACTTCAAAATCATTTTTTAATTTTAAATTTGATATATGTTGCCAAAAATACTTATGAAAAATAATTGGAAATTGAAAATGTCCGCTAACAGTTAAAAACAAATCAATGTTTTTTGAAAATGTTATAGTGTATAGAAAATGATAATATAAAATACCGGTGAAAATTTTCACGTATCTACGGTCATTTGTTTTACAGATATACCAAAAACATAATTGATTTAGGTAGTCGAAAACCGATTTTACGTCAAATTTCCCTTTTTCCCTTAATTTTGCTTCTTTTTTCTCTGCGCTTTCGAAAACTATTAGAATTTTTTTACTTAAGTATGTTGTGTAACCAGTTTATATGTCAATCCAGAAGATAAACTCGCTCTGAAACGCGTTTTTGAATAATTATTTTTTATTTAACACGCATACCCATATTATATTTTGACTATTTCAACGCTGTGGTTATTGCTAATGTTGTAATGTTGTTTTCGTTAATATGTAAGTCTTACGTTATTAATTTCAAAGTCATGACATATATTGTCAAATTAACGTTTGCCCATTGTGTTGTTTACTAGTCATTTTGGCCAATATCGAAGCGACAAGGTTTTGAAAAAATTAATTGTCTGGACAGTGAGCACTTATAGGCACAAATAAGGGGGGCTTTAGGGGCTAAGCTAAATAAAATCACTGAGAAAGAGTATTTTGAGCCACCGGTTTTAGTAAGTTGAGTGAAATATTCGAATATGAGTAAATGTTTATTGCAATTTCGTATTGTTGTATCTTTTGCGCAAGGCAACTAATAAGATGTTTGAACCGGTGTTGTTCAATTTGCCTATTTTTTAAGACTATACATGAATTAGGTATAATAATTATATATATTTTTTACACCGGAGGATTTATCACAAATTAAAAAATTATACAACTTTTAAGCCGTTGAATTTAACACAAATTAAATAGGTATAGGTATAGGTACATACACACTTTAAATCAATTTCTCTATGAAAAAAGCATACCGAAAACACGAACCCGTAAATAAATCGAAATTATTCACGATTCCCATATTATATTATAATGTATTAGAAATAGGTACCAATTATAAAATCTGATTTTCGTCGGTGGATCAATTGAGATCTATCTATGTTATCTATCTATGAGATAGCAAACGCATAAATTTGGTACAATCAATGTACACACGAGACACGAACTATATTCATATCGACATATCGCCCGGCGCAATTGATGCATACGCCAATACGACCTCATATTATTTAATGATGTATAATCTTGTCGAATCCCTTATTATATTTTTTACCGTTGATTTTTAGAGCAACTTATATTATATACCCATCAGTTCTAACAGTAATGAGTATAATGAGTAATGACTAATACTAATGAAATATTAATAAAATAAAGTTTTCAATCGATTTTTATGCACATCCGTCGTGCCGTTCCACGTCCGTTTCTCAAACAAATCATATCGCGTCATCATTCATCTTCGAGCGTTGTAATAATGGTGTCATCATATATTATTATGTGTTATGCACATAGCGGGAAACAAATAATTAGATAATATTTAAATATTTACATACAATTGATATAGATATAGTTATACAATATACATTATACAATGTTGCTGATGTGCATTATTGCTCTAAAATAAAATAATATTTGACCGATCAGTGGATTATTTTTGTAGGTACCTACCACATTACAATTCAACATAATATAATTATGCAATAGTGTCAATACATAGTATACCTATTGGCTATTACCTAATATAAGGTAATTATTTATTTAATCTTAATTATATATAGCTAGGGTATTCATTTTTTTTTTTTGTTATATTCCTATAAAATATACAATAGTACTTACTACCTAGTGTTAAGTGAGCTGGAGCGTAATCCATTCTAAGGAGTAAAAACTAGGCATTTTATATTTTAGTTCATATAATCCATATGGGTCTTGTGAATGAGTTGAAAGTAAATGAACATTAGTGTGTGTAATTCGTAGTACTGATCACGTTGTATATGGGCATCATAATAGGTCTGTCATTTTACCTACGCGCATGCGCATGTCACAACATATTACTTTATAAAATTAGAAACATTTTTTTTCAAAAAATACTGCCAGTGACTTCAATCGCTACGCTCAGTAGGATGTTCCGATTTAAATTTTGAAAACAGATTTGAATTCCCCTCTAAATTTACTATGCTTTGACTGTCGTACATTTTTCATATTCTATATCAATGTATTTAAATTTTAATTATGATCAAGTAAGGGTAGTGTAACCACTGGGTGACTCCTCCCATCACGTAATCATGTTATAAACTTTTAAAATATCACATATTCTTATTGTTCCTAAAAGAACAGATGGTATATACCTTATAAATAATAAAAAAAAAAAAAAAAAATTATGAATATGATCTATTTTTACTCTTTTTGTTAGTAAATTTCTAAATAAAAAAAATGAAATTATTAAAGCATAGATAATTTAGTGACGAATTCAAATCTGCTTTCAAAATTAATATAAGAACGTTATATTATGCATAGTGATTGAAGTCGTGAGCTATGTTTTCGACCAAAAATTAATCACATTCCAGCCCTCTTGAATAAGTACATGAATGTTGTGCCAGTCTTTAAAAATAAAAGGCATGGGGATAGAAGGAAAATTACACCCAAATGCCACCAACCATCTCCCCTTATTATGCCACTATAATACTGTATTACATACTCCAATAACTACATCATCCTGTACCAAAGTGAACAAACAGTATAAGTAGATAACAAACAATATCCTGCATAGCATTATAATTTTTAATTTTGTTGGCATCATGTAAAAAGTGATAAAGTGAAAACCATTATGATTTTATTTTAAAATTTAAAATTCTCATTAATTCAACATTTTTTTTACTAGGTCAATTATAAAAATTATAAAAATGTACTTGTCTTTATCACTCTTTACATGAGGGCGGCAATTTATATATTTGTATTATTAGACTTTTATTTTTTTTTACAATAAATTTGAAAAGAATTTTTGTAGTTCTGTAATCTGGGCCCTTAATAACAAAATTATGTCGTTATGTATAACTATGCAATATTTGTATTCCGATTTCAAAACATAAAAATATATTTAAATGAAATAAAGATGATTTTATTTCATATTATTAAATTAACAAATAATAAAACATTTTCAACATAGTGCAATACTTTATAGTTTATAATAAATAAAAATGTGATTAATTTTATATACTTAACGGCTTTACAGCCAACATTTCCAACATGGCTTAACTGATACTACAACAAAGTATTAGCTACAAAATGGCAGTGGCAGCCTCAAATATAAATATTTTAAGGCACATAGACGAAACATTACTGACTGTCTACTTATACAAATATCTCCATCTTATTTGTTTTACGAACAATTTTGATTTGACCTGGTGCTATGTCCGGTAATCCTAAATATTTGAATGCTATGGTGACAGTTTGGTCACCAAAACTTGCATCAAACCTGAAAAAGAATCATTAATTAATGGTTTTGAGATAGGTTAGTAAGGTTGACTAAAAAATTACCGAGTAGATATGTTTACATCTGGTGGACTACCAGACACATTTTGAATAACTAAAAACAGTTTGGTGACTATTTCTATGACGTGACTAGTTTGAAGAACAATATCTCCCTTTTTTTTATATGTACTATCTGAAGGACCAACAGCAGGTCCTTGGTGAAATAAACAGCCACTTGGTGATGGTGACCACTCCCCACCCAAGTCATCTTCTTCTTCGGTACATCCCACATACGCCTAACAAAATATTTGTAAATTAAAAAATGCAGACTTTAACTATTTAAGACATGAATTTTTTAATGATTTGTTTAAAAATGATATTAATATAATTTGAAGACTTACTGATTTTATATGAAATACTGCAACATTATCTAAAAATGGTGATAATGATAATCTATAAATATCTGCAGCTGGTACTCTGTATTTCACTTGTAAGGTTCTATGGTCTAATATTAACATGGACTTTGTTGAAATCACAAGAAGAGTTGGCACAAACTAAACAAAATAAAAAGTTATTATTCCTTAGTAAAATTCTAAGAAAGCAATCATAAAATAACTACTTTTCCACTACTCCGTGTTATTTTGTTTACTATATCCGCAAACACTACATGATGATCATCACACTGCAAGGCAGTCTTTTGCCATTGAGTATGTTGTCTTAGACGGACATAATCACCAATAAATGGGTGGGCAACACTCTGACCATAGCTTGCTTTACGATTTTTAAATATGATGCTGGCATTGACTTTCTCACGCATACGATTTCTTGATGTCTGATCAAATTTATTCCGATATTTATGACACTAAATTCAAACATTTTATTAATGCATATTTTATTTTATTCATAAGAATAGTAAATTCATTATATTATATTTTTTATTTCAAATAACTTGTAGTTTAGTTACATAAACTCAAGATTTTAAACACATTTATTATTTTTTGTTGGAAAAATAAATAACTTTTTGTGGTTTAAAAAAATTGTTTTTAAAAATTTTTTACAAAACGTTGTTTGGATATCAAGGATTATATTATCTCTTTCTATGGTATTGGGTATCCCAAAAGTTGTCATCTATCCTCAATCATTTTTCTTTTCTTTATTAATAGTGCACACCGAGCTTTATGCAATTTATACTTATTGGCTTATCAGTATTTGTTGATGATATGAAACTATAAAAGAATTTCTTTGTATCAACTTGATATTTTTATAAATGATTGTCACCTCTTTCAAAATGACTAAAAGCAGCAACTTTTGTCCTATGCGGGTACTTTAGGTTTATCTTTTAATTTTCTAAGTGTCATTCCAAAACATTTACTTATATCGGAAACCCATTGATATAATCTGCACATCTAGACACTTCATTAATTATACCTCTATTTTATACTTATTGCTATTCTGTTCATATCAATGTCCTGAAGTCTCCCCAAAATTATGACAAAAATCTACCACTGCGTCAATGGATGCAAGTTAATTTGGACCCTTCTTTTTCTTATTCAGAAAAAATAAAATATTAAATAATTATAATTTGTATTCTTTGTAATTTATTCACTATTTATCACAATTTAAAGTTGCATTAATTGTTTGAAGTGGATATTAAAAAATTGTATGGCCAGGTCCGTAATTTCAATATTTGCTAGGGTAGGGCATAATAATGACCGGTCTTATAACTATAAAACTTTTAGTCATATCTCTGTCATGATAATTACTAAACTTACTTTATCATTGAGATAACAAATATAGCAGGTACGTATTATATTATAATATACAACAGATTATCTATACTGTCATAAGAATGGTTATTTTTTTTGATTATAGAAAATCCAGTTTAGACCCGGCCCACTTGGCTACTTTAAAATCTAGGGTTGAGCAAATGCAAACTTCTTCCCAAAAAAAAATGACGGCCCTGTGTATGACGTTTGTCATCAAAAATAAAATTAAAATTTCAAGTAAAAAATGGGCAATGTTTAAGAAAATTTGAAACCCATATTTGTTGCCTCAGTTTCACTTATACACCATCAATTTACATTTGGGGATGGTTGATAAATTGTATTATTATTTTTCTATTAAATTATTAATGTTGACTTTTATTCAAAGTACTTTAAAACAACATAAAACCCTTGTTTTTATGCATTAAAATCTATAACTTACTCTCCATTTGTGGTGTAGTGTCTCTAATAAATAGTGTGTGTGCGCAAATCGAGGATTCGACAATGGTATCCAAGCTCTACAAATAGGCGACTCAGTAGCTACACTTAAGCTTCTTGATAATCTCATCAAATATTGACGTTTCTGAAATATATTTATGTATTAATAAATATAGTATACTAAATTATATAATTCTAATACATACACTACCCAAATATTAAAAACAAGAAAAAATTATTGCATAACATTAAACTTTGTATAAGAATAGTTTTATTTAAAATCCTCGTTCATTTCTGTTATGGGGGCTCCCTGTTATGTCCAGTCGGTCGTGTTTTAAGGAAATTAATATAGGCAACTTAACAAGAGGACATTAAAATGACTTGTAAGTGTGTGCAAAGTAAATTAATATTAGTATGTGTGAGTTAAATTTGTAATTGTTTTCGGTCAATATTTCCTAGAAATGTCGAGAATTATAAGAGTAGGCCCGCATAATACCGCCTGGTATATCGGTCATTATTTATATTCGTCGGCAATTAACTTACGTACGCACAGGCATTGACGGAGATTTTAAATTATGATCAATTTTTTTTATTTAAAATAAGCAGTTCTTAGACCAATAAGCTAGAAAAAACTGGAGGAATTTGGTTTGATGGATTTTAATTTTGAAAACGGACTATGGTTGATTAACAAGTTTACTAGGTTATGCCAGAGGCGATTTTTAATATTCCAATTATTGTTTGTGTCATGATGAATACTATAAATACTATAAATACAAAAATATCATATTTTTTATTCTTGGATATCACAGCAAAAAAAAAATATTCAAAATCGCCTCTGGCATAACATAGTAAACTTGTTAATCAATCATAATCAGTTTTCAAAAATAAAATCCGTCAAACCTAATTCCTCCAATTTTGACTAGCTTATTGGTCTAAAAGTCACTTTTTTTTCATCGACTGGAGCCCCCTTAAGCGATTAATAAAAATAAAATTATTACACAGATTTAGTTTTTAAAGATTTTATGTTTTAATAAAATATTAAAGATTGTACAATGATGTATAAGTGTAAACTACTAAACAAACAGTTAATATAATATATAGGTATAGAAAATAAAATGCAATACACAATTTATTACAATATCACATACCAAATAAAAATTAAAACTTATTTAATCAATATAAAAAAAAAAATACCTTACATTTTTAATAAAATTGTATTATGCATCAGATTCAGTGGAGTCCGCAGAGGAAGGGGCTAAAGGGCTGAAGCCTCCCCCATTGACCGTATTATTGTTACTTTTTCAAAAAAATATTAATCAAGTTAAACTGTCAACTATAGTAAGCAAGAAGTAAATTTCATATATGTCTTACCAGAATGAATTTATTTTTGAAAGAACATTGTATTTGCATACCAATTTTCATAAATTATCTGTAATTTTTAGGTAAAAGTATGAACTACTTGTATGAAAGACCTTGTATTAAATTGTCTAGCCTTAGCTATATATATTTTATAAGTTTTGAACTACAAATTAACTGTAATTTTGACGAAATTTGAACTTTAAATGCTTATAAAAAAAAACCATGGTGCCTATGTAGTGTTTGAAGTATGAAATATTTCACAAAAACATGACACATTGAAATTTTTTTACACAAATAAAAACACAATTTATTTTTTTTTTTAACACAATGTTCAGTGTTCTAAGTTCTAATGACAGAATTCAGTATTTATACAATATGCATGTATAATATTGTATACCTACTTGTATCATTTAAACATTAAAATATTTAAAAATGTTGAATACCATTTTAAATGTATAATACCAAAGGTTAGGTATACATACAGTTATGAAGGTAATTTATGACAATTATTTGTAAATATAAAACTTATTTAAAAATAAAACAAAATATATCAAAATACCAAAATATTTCATTTTTTTAAATTTCATGAAATTTTTAAACACTATGCCTATGTATCGTTAATATTTTAGCTATAAAAAAATAACTTACGTATTACATTTTTAAGATTTTTGACCGGATAAATAATTTTTTATTGACATTTATAGAAAAAAAAATTTAATTATTCAAATACAATCCAAGTGAAGACGGTATAACCAAACATTTAAATAAATTTTCATTTTTTTTCTCCAATTATTTTTAAAAGCACTGAGCATTTTCAATTTCGACCTCCTAAAAGTACAAACTAGATCCAATTTGCTTCCAAAAACATACACTGGGCATCGAAGCTTATGATCAGAACATTTTTTCTACCAGAAAAGTTGAAAAGTTACAAACATTTTAAAGTACCTCAAATAAACGTCAGAAATTATTAGACCGGACAAAATAAAAATGTAACTAATTTTCAAGCCCTCCCCCCCCCATTGAAAAATCCTGCGGACGCCACTGATCAGATTCAATATAAAACTTTTATTTAATTGATGTATAAAATATTATTTAATATTGTTTCTTACCTGCCAAGTTAAAACGGTTCTAGTAATACATTTGGCAGCTGAAAGTGTATCAGTAATCCTACACCTAAAATGTTGATATTTATTTGATAAGTTTTGAGAAGAATTTTGTCTTTTATGTCTATGCCAAGCTTCTTGCACCAAAGCTGCAAGTTGGTTAAGACGTTCTGCCCTCAACTGTTCTAATTCCCATACGGACCTTGGAGACCGTACAAACACTTTGGATACACCATACACAAATTCTGCACTAGGTATTGGTAAGCACACAACCAACGCCCTTATAGAACGAGCTGTATTTCCATACCGAGGTCTAGGCCATGTTGCTGGACTAAGCATTTTATACCGTGCAAGGAATTCTTCAAATGTAAGTCGATAGCAGAAACCTGATCTGCGCAACCGAACAATTTCTACAAGGCTAAAATTCAAAATAATAACATTTATAGTTTAAACCAATGAAGTACAAATAATTATTTATTATTTATTTAGTGCTTACCTAAACCATCTAACTTGTTGCTGTACAAAGGAAGAGTCAAAAAAGTTTACTTGACAATGACGATTAGGTGATATGCATGTTACATAATGACAACGGCGACCAGATAATGTTGCAGAAAATGCTTCTGCCCAAACACGTAATTGACTGGCTGGATTGGAAACAGTAAATGATGACATTCTTTCTGGATTTCCTGAAAAAAATAATTTATCAACTTTAGAAATATGTTTGACTTAATAGAAATTAATTATTGATATTAGATTTTATTTTAATTAATGTATGTTCAAACATTAAAATTAACAAATTATAAATACTGTAATGCTGTAAGCACAACAATAACATTATATTTTAATTAACATAAAAATATTTTGTCTAATTCTTAAATAAGTTTAAAATATTTAGTTCATAGCCATATTTTTTGAATTGAAATAAAAAGTAGGTACACCGTACATGAATCAATGACAATATAAATATTATGGTATAGAGTAGTATCTAATTGATATATATATATATATGAAAACTATACATATAATAGCTTATATAATATAAGCATTCATAAAAAATCCTACATGTGGCACTACACTAGTATACTTCATTCAAGTTAAGAAGGAACCTCGGTAGCGACTAGTTTTTGTGAGGAACACCCGTCTATCACCCCCAATGAAAGTAATGTTGTAGTGCCATGTCCCTGCGGCCTGCATACTATTCAGCCTCCAAAGCAAGCCCGGATTAAGGAGGGGCCAAGGGTGGCACGGTCCCAGGGCCCATTGATTTTTGGGGGCCCATCTTTATCCCCAAAATATATTTATTAGGATACACTCTGTATATTTTTTGTATAGTAAAAAATTATACAATAATATAAAGTCGTTAATATGTAATAATACAATTATTTTGAAGTCAAAGTTGAAAAGGGGCCCACTAAGTATATGGGTGTCCCGGGCCCAATTGATCCCTAATCCGGGCTTGCTCCGAAGTACCTTTAAAACATGAGTGGAGTATAAAATAACATGCCCATAGCACATTATGCTTATATTATGTTTTTGTAATTTAAACAGTTCTTCTACAAAACAAGAAATATAAGAGTTGCTTTGCTATAGTTTGTAGGTGTTAAACACGGATAACAGCTATTATGCTGACATCCTGGTAATTTATAAATTATATTTCTGACTTATTTAATTGACCAAGGCCTGAATTTATGAACACAGACATTAAAATGTAATATATTACCTTCAGGAAACAAAGACTTCAATAATGGATGTGTACTGTTATACATAGTAGAACATAACAATGGACTCAAACTGTTTTTATTTTTGTCAACAAAAGTATTAATATTATACTTAACTGGGCCCATAAAATGATTTAACCTGGAAAAATAATAATTTTAAATTATAAATAATCAAAGATTACTGTAAGAATATAATTATAAAAAATAACACTATAGATAGTTTTAAAAAAAAAATTTAATTTAAAATGTAGTTTAACCTTAAATAAAAAAAATAGACGTACAATAATAAATAATAAATAAAATGCATTAACTAAAAACAACTGTTTAAATACTAGTAAGTAAATTAATTAAATTTCAATTATTTAAATAATTTGATGAAATTTAAAATTTAAAATCTAGTAATGAAACATAGTAATGACTAATGACTAATGAATAATGAAGTACAAATTAAAAATTGATATCAAATTTCAGTAATATAATATTATTTTATTTCACAAAATTAATTATTTTTAAATGCTAAAATAAATTTTTTAGTATTAAAAATTATCTTATAATAAAGCAAATTATTATTCTTACATAAAACTGTCATTCAATGAGATTTGCTCAACTCCAGAACTGATTTGGTCTTCAGAAGACGATGAGCTGTACTGTCGTTGTAGTGCACAAATTCGTTTAAAAACTGATATACTATTGCTATCTAATATTAAATCATCCATTATACTCAATAATCCTCCATATGTCTAAAAATTTACATTAAAATAATTATAACTAAATGTTTAGTAATATTTAAACTGTTAGCTCTGGATTATCGGAGGAATGGGATGGCGTGGCAAAGACAGATAAGGGATTCAGCTGTTAATTAGCAAAATACAAATTTAAACAGAAATGCTATTATTGTATCATTCAAAAAATTATATAATATAATAATAATAGTATTTAAAGAAAATTAAATAATTAAGCATTGTACTTTTATTTAAACACTATTTTTAGTACCTTCCATAGTAAAATAGAGGATTACGAATAATCGAAAGTTTACTATACATGCAAAATTATTATGTAGTTTGAGTTATTAAATAATTAAACCTAAAACACACCTTGAATATTAGTTCACAAACTGATGTATTATCATAAAATGGAATAAGACACCATTGAACTCTTTCCATCGCATATTCTTGTTGCTCATCTTTCAATGTTGCTGTTATTACTAAATTATGGATTTTATCATTGCAGGAATTCAACACAAAATTATCCCAATCCATCTGACTGTCAGAATAATCAAAACCAAAAGCATCTAAAAAGCCTAAATTTCTTCGTTTATATTTTGCTTCAGCTTTAACACTTTGATTGAGTCTTGTTATCAACCATGAAAATAACCTAGTGTACAATGACTGAGCAAGCAAATCCTTAATATAACGAGCTTCTTTTGCAGAAATTCCAGATGATAATACTGATGATGTAAGAACTTTTGTTAAAGCCTCACCATCCGTACCTAATAGTTCACCAAGCTCATATAACTCTAAAAAAGAAATTTAATACACATTTTACTAAAAAAAACACTTAAAAAAACTTATTTTTATTAGTTCATATTTTATTATTATTTTAATAACTTATGATTATTTAAATCTCCTTAAGTTTTCTATTCAATCATTGAGCCATGTTTAATGTATTTGAAAAAAAATTAATTAATGAATATTAATTATAAAAACTAAAAATAAAAAAATACATTTTTAAATCATACCATAATCATTTGTAATAATACACCCTTCAGTTCCATCGATGTTATTAGTTGGTACAAAATTTAAATTGCCCAATTTTAATATACTGCTAATAATCTTAAAAATACTGGTTATTTCAGATTCACTAAATCCCAAAATCTCAAATCCATACTGTAAAATACATATGAAATAAAATATTAAGTTATTATCAAGAATACAAATATAAAATATACATAATATTTTACAAACATTAATTAGTAAGCAAGTTAAATGTTTAAATTAATATATAACTATTTATTTAAAAAATGAATTAAAAATATAATTAATAGTAATAATACTCGTTAGATTAGGATAAAACTAAAAATATTTATAAAAAAAAAAATTAACTTCCAACAACACAGAAAATACAGAATACTTGAATAATATTTTTCTTACACATTTAACAGAGTATGATATGATACAAGTACAAAAATATATAAAAAGTAAATATTAAACAGAGTATAACAGAAGACCGGCCAACTAAAAATAAAAAATTGATAATAGATAAACGTGTGACAAAAATTATGAAAATTATATAGAAAAAATTTAATTTAATTTAAATTGTATACTGTACTTGTAACACAAATGTCTAAAAACTATAGGTATTTATAAAAAAAAAAATGTTTAAATATTGATTAGAACAAAAATTATTTCATCAGTCAGGTCATTCTGTTACACTCCTGTATATATAATAAATAAGACAAAATAGCTAAGACAAAAAAAATATTCTTTTATCAAATATTAAATTATATTATTGAATACAATTACCTTTATTGATTGATATTCTGATTGAAAATTAACAACATCAATTTGTCTAATACGATTGCTGCATTTTAAGTAAACATAGTTTTCTGAATTTCTGGTAAGTTTTAAGGATTCTAAAAAACAAAAAAAAACAAAGAAAATTAGTTTAAAAAAAGTTGATTAGCATTTATTATACAAAACGTATATTAAAATTAATTAACATATATAATATATATTTATTATTTTTATATTTATTTAATTACGTCCACATACATTTTAAGAAATATAAAAATAATTTATTTTATACGTCATATAATATAATGTATAATATATTTTATTGTTTTTTTTATTTTTGTAATTAAGTATTCACAAATTATTTAATTACACTCACGGATAATTATTTAGTTCAGTCTAATGTATATAAAATGTTAAGTACTTTAATAAATATCTGAAGTGGCATTTAAAACTGCTATTTTATTATATTTGAAAGTATAGTTAAATACAGTTGGTATACATAAATTCACCATTTATTACTTATTAATAGTTAAATTAATAAGAAAAATAATAAATTAGTAAGTTAGTTAAATAATTATTTATAAATATTAAATAACATAATAAAAATAATATTTTTAGTTTTAATAAAATTATAATATTAACTATTTAAATTTAAACTTACTCAATAAATGAATATCAGCACCATAAATTAGTTGATAAAATATATGGAAATTCCTATTCAATGCACTTTGCGACGTTACCCTCGACTATAAATTAATTAATATATTATGATAATGAATTACAAAATTATCACACTATAAAAACATACAAAACTTGCTATAAAAATAATAGGGATTTCAAACAAAACTGAAATCCTTGAAATTGTGTAACACAAATTTTAGCTCTGTATACACAATGTAGTTACATATTAAATTAGCAAAATAAATTATAGACATATTAAAATACCTCAACTTTTTGTACTCTAATATATTTAACTATATAGCTGTATAACCTGACTACACCCGTGAAAAATTGACCAAATATAAAATATAGTGATATATAGGTATCTAGGTTTTAGTGGACGTCAGTTCACTGGGAAATCTTGGATGTACCTCGCTGGGAAATAATTCAACCTAGATGGACAACCGCAAGTTGCAGATTGGATTTAGTATTCGGTATATTTTTAACATGGTTCAAACTTCAAACTACTCTCTCAAACTTTTCTGATATCTCTAAAAACAATCGAGTATTTATTGAGTATATACCATACAAGCCAACAAACTGGTTTTAAAATATAGTTTCTTTTATCAAGGCCATTCAATATTCAATACTTTGTTACATGATTAAATTGAATTCTCAAAAAGAAACTAATAAAGTGCAAAATAATAATAAATTATATTTATTCATTGATATATGAGCAATTCTAAAAGAGTTGGTACCTAATAAATATGTTTTTTTGTCATTTATCTTCTAAAATTTAGAGGATAAAATTAAACCTAATTATTAATAACTCACTTTATCCAATAAATCTATTTGCAGCATACATAAAATGAAAAATTCATTATTTAATTATTAGAATAAACAACCACTACACTTACATCCTGTAATTGTAGCACCCACAATATCCCCTTTAAAATTTAATTCTAGATCAACATGTTTTATCTGAAACATACAATTAAACATTAATCAAGCAATTTAAAATTAAATACATTTTTTCTTAAAATAGTGAAGGTTTAAAACCATATAAGTTACTTACAAAACGAGAAGCATCACTATGTATATGTGTTTTGGCATTCCCAAATGCTAAAATAACAATCAATGGAATGGAAAGTTATTTACAAAAATAAAGTATTACAATCCAACTTACAATTTAATATGATGTTAGCATTCAACAAACGTTGATTGAGCAAATTATTGTGATTATTGGTCCCACATAAACAATGCAGCAACATTGAAATAGAATGGCTTTTACCTGAGCCAGAAATACCTTGTAGGACAACACATTGATCTTGAGCAGCATCTACCAACCATCGAAAAGCCCAACTAGCTATAGCATAGCTAAAAAAAAAAAATCAACATTATGACTATTTTATATAATTGCATGATATAAATAGATATATTTGGAAGATCATTACAGATGTGGCGGTAAATGGCCTGATCTTGGTGACATATAGATTCGACATAGAGGTATAGAAACTTGATGTGCTTCTTTATATGGATTCACAGCAATAAGCATATTTCCCATGTAAGTCTAAAAAAACAACATAATACATTTATTTTTAAAAAACTATTTAGTTATTATACATGGATAAAATAATAGTATATTATGTAGAAAACAAATATTAAACAATGATTGATCATTAAAAAAATATAGAAACACAAACAACAATTAATATTAAATATTTATAAGCCCCTCAGAACTTCAAGACTTTAATGAATAAAATAAAATATAACATTGTAAAAACATGATGTAAGTCAAAACAATTTAAAATAAAATAAAAAAAGGTGGGCAGCTGTACAGTAGGTGACTCGTGGGTCACTGTAATGGATGGTGTTAAATTTGAATTATAATATGGTATACAAAAAAAACTATTCCGATCGTTGATGGTCTTTTTCAAGTACCTATATTTCATATTATGTTTTTTGATATTGCATTTAAAGTAATTCATTATATCAGTCATGGGCGTTCTCATTGGGTGGGAGGAATGGGTGATAGATCCCCCCCAGGATCTTTTTTTTTAGTCCTAAATTTCCTTAAATATGTAATGCTTAAATTGTATAAAATTTTCAAATTGTTGACAATGTGAAACATTTGTAACATTTAAAGCAAAAAAACTAAAAATCTAAAATTTAAAATGTATATAATTAACTCAAAGCAAGTAGAAAAATTATGAATATTTTATTATGCATAGAAAATTATAATATAACCATACAATTAAAATTTCAAGTATCTAAGATTATTTGGTTTGAATTACAACAAAATATCAATAATTGACTTAGTAAAAATTGTTAATTTATAGATGAAATATCCAATGTCGCAAAAATTTGAACTTTAAATACTCATTTAAAAATAATACGACTTTCTGATAAACATTGTTTTTCTGTTACAAATTGGAAATGTTACGAATAATATTGTATAAAATTTTCAAATCTTAGATGTAAAAAGAAAATTTTTATGGATTTCTAACTAAAAAATATATAATTTGCAAATGTTCAAGATTTTGACAATTTTTGTAAGAATTCTAACTTTGAAAACTTGTAAAAAAATATTGTGACTATGTATTTTTGATATTATTTTTTATTAAGTAAATGAACAAATTCATGAGGAACCTTGTATTAAATTATCAAGCTTTTTGACTTAGCAAAATATTTTTTAACAACATTTAATTTTTCCTAAAATGGTGAAGACAGACACAAAAATAAAAAACAAATTGTTGTAAAATAAATATATTCATCGCTCCGCTCAAAATCTAAAATACATTCAATTTTGAAATGACTTCATAATTAATTGTATTATCAATTGAATGGTTGAAAAAAAATATTTTTATTAAAAACAACTTTAAAAACAGTTATTTAGTGGATCACTAACTAGTATCTAATATTTATTAGTTAGTACCTATAAATATTAAATATAACTTCTCCAGTTCAAACTATTATTTAAATTGTTCAAGGTTTATAAATACCTACTTCAAAATAAATTTATAATAAATTTATAACATTTAATCTTGTTCAAAATGTAAGTAATCTCAAATAAATTCCAAATAAAACATTATAGTATAAAACCAATTCCATATTTTCATAAGAATGTAATTAAATATAATAATATGTAGAAATTATTCGAACATTAAATAATATTTTCTTGACCTTGTTAATAATAAATATTAAATAAGTTAGGGTTATATTATACCAATATTACATAGTCTATGGAAATCTTAAATTAATCATTGTATCACACTATAGCCTGTAGGCAATAAATCAGAATAAGATAAATGGTCTTACTAACATAGTGGAATAGTGTAATCTGTGTAGTACTGTAGTATACACACAGTTTATACTCATAGCCAATACTAATTAAGGCATAGCATTTAAACCCAAAAATTAAATAACCATAAAAATATGATGATTTTTTTTTTGAACACAATTACAATATGAAATATTTTAAAAAACAAAATTAGTAAAATTGAATGAAGTCCTCAATTGTTTAAAATATAACATTTTAGGTAGTGGGTAAATTAAATACAAAAAAAATTAATAAATAACAGATAAATTAATGCAATATAAATAACAATAACATAAAGTAAGCATTGAAATTATAATATGTTTTAACTGTGGTTTGTTGTTTATACAGGGTATTGCACGATAAATGTGTTAAACTTCTAGAGGTGTTTCTACACCTCAAATGGAATAAAAAAAAGTCTTAATGACCCCTGCCTTAAAAAATAATTGTTGTTAAATAAAATTAAAATTTTTTTAAATTTCGACATTTTAAAGTTATAAAAAATTTGTATTATTCTTTTTACCCAAAAAATCAGGTGGGAACCTTGTAAGATATGTTTTCCCAATCCCAATTTTATGAGCTTTTCATCAATGTATTCAAATTAATTGTAGTACCTACGGTTTAGCAAATATGAACATTATTATGAATCAAACTTGCGTTTAACCAAAAAAACACTAACATGGAAATTATCACCCTTATTATTGATAATTCGATTATGGTCATAAGGACTTTTTTGTTCCATTTGAGGTGTAGAAACATCTCTAGAAGTTTGGCACATTTATCGTGCAACACTCTGTATATGTTTATAAAATTTTGAGATTGGATATACTACCTATAGATCCCATATTTAATATTTGTCATAAATAATCACGAGGATAATCATCTTGGTTTTGAATTTAAAACTTAAATAATCCCTTCAAGCAAAGAGTGGGTTATTTCTTATTCATACAAACCATGTATTCTATCCGTCTTCACATATACTTGTTATACTAAGTAGTATCTATTGATTGAATATATCTTATAAAAATAAAAACAAAATCTCAAAAAATATATATTATCTTGTATTGTTAAATTAAGTTAAGGCGACACAAAAAAAAAATTTGTGGGGGTTATAAGTTATAAGTTATATATTATATAAATAAAGTACACAACTATTAATTTTCCCCCCTGTGTACGTGCCTGAAATTAACCATATTACTGGTCAGCTTATTTATATTAGTTGCATATGTTTCATAAGTAATTCAATTTAAATTATTTCAATAGTAACTATACTAAGCAGTATTATAATTAATACATTTATGAAATACTGAATATAGCTACAAAAATCTCTGTAATTATTAAGAAAGAAATTTAATTCAATTTTAAGCACTCTTAAATTCATGTTACTTACATAATTAGTATTTGAGTCATATCTACAACTCAAATTTGTGAGAAACGATTCTTCTGTCAATGGTTCTAGCAAAACACTATCCCAGGTTCCATTTTCATCAATGAGATCCATTAGGAAAGTGAGTCTTGTATCTATAAAATCCAAACTGAAACCTTTAACATCATAGAATACATTATAGGCATGAAATGTTATAGTATGTCGTGGCAGGCACTATCTGGTACCATATTGATTGTTCACATCTAATCCACTTATTATTATAACTTATAAGCACCTGTCAACTATAATAGTTAGGTATCATTCAAAACAAAAATGTAATTGTTTTTATCTAACATAATAATATAGGTATACTAATAAGTTTTAAATCAAGACATTGTATAACATAAACATTTTAAATTACAAATTTTAATTATCAAAATATTATATGAAGAGTTAACATAAATTGTTAATATTATACTTTAAACGGCTTTTTGATCAGTACCGTTTTAAAAACATAATACAACAATCAATGAACAACTTAATTTTCTAATAGATTAATATTTAATAAGGGAAATATCACACAATCTTTTCTCAATAGGTACATTTCTTTATGTAAAAACTTTATAATAATCCAAGCAATTTAATTTTATGGTTATAATGAACAAAATCTAGTATAATACTATGACATCATTTTATTGACAATGGACATGAAATGTGTCATTCTAAAATAATGCCCTTCCAACTTTAATCCTTTTCTTTGTTAAAAAATATTCATAAAAGACTAAACAATTATGGCAATAGAAATGTATTTATACCTATCATAATTTATCTGTCAACACGACTCATACATTTTTATATTTTTTACTTCATGAGACTATTAATTTAAAAAAAAAAAATGTAGGGAGTAACTTTTATCTGTGACACCAAACAACTAAATTGATAAACAATTTTTATTTCTAACAACTACCTACCTATTAATAATAATATATACATGTCTTATATCAAAAATTAATTTAATAAGTATAAAAATTAACAATTATTATCAATTAACGCCTAAACTATAGCATTAAAATAAAGTAATTAATTTAACACTGAATGTAAATAAATACGCTTATTTTAATAAATATTATTAATTAATTAAAAATAAACTACATAGTAATATTTGTAATACTACATTTAGTTTAAATTTTAAATAGTAATAGACACCTAAACAAATCCATTATAGTATTATACCTAGACAGATATTACCTACAGTACATTATTTTAACACACTTAAGTAGTTCCATAAAAACTAATGATAAAAAAAACTCAATATTTCAAACATCTATCTATAAAAGGAGGATTTAAATATATTAAAATTGATATTTATTAGAACTAGTTAAATTGTCAAGTATTATATTATATTATGAAGATTAAAGGTACCTACAAGATAACTCAAGTTTTAAATAGGTACCTGAAATATCATTAAATACAAAAAATAAGTGTTTAAATAATGCAAGTGCAGTTATCATAAGTGTTAATTTAAAAGTTCCTAATATCCACTAAAATAAGTGGATATTTTAGTTTACTATTAAAGATAACTTTAGCATATCAAATATTTGCTACAAACTACTACTTAAGCTACCTACTGCCTATTACTTTATAAAAAGATAACTTACTTTTAGGTCAACAAATTTAAATTTTTTCCAAATTGATGGATAAAGTTGATAGGTACAGTATTAAAAAACTAAAAAAAAAAACCAAGACATTTATAGAAACTAAAACGTTTTTAAATAGGTAGCCTAAATTTCAAACAAAATTTTTTAAGAAAAAAACTAAGTATTGATAAAATTATCGGCTGGTACAGTGATAACTGATAAAATAGCAGTGCAAGTAAATCTGCGAGAAATTAAAAAAAAAATTATACCTTAATTGTTACTATAATGTTTGTAATATAGTTGATGGGTTACAATATAATATAAACCCTAAATAATCAAATTATGTTTAAATTTAAACAATATTAGTTTGCGTAGTATGATATTTATTTATTTATTTCCACTTAAATCGTGATTAAATAAAATCGTTTGTAAGTTTTCAATAATGAGTAACACTGGGTAAATATAAAACGATAGACTAATAATTAAATCTTAAATCATATTATTATGTTAGTAATTCTTACTAATTATTGTTAATTGATATTATACATTGCCTATCTACTATTTACTATTTTCATACAATTTATGTCATGTTACACATTATTAAAGTTATGATGTCACTATGGTTACCTAGTGATTGGATTATACGCTCGGGGCGTATAATATGTATAAAAGAGAAAGCTTAGAATTAAATCTTAATAATAATATATTGATTTTCTTTCCTGGGCTTCTGCTCCCCCGCTTTCGTCCACCAATAACGTCGTTATATATTCGGGTGGTAGCGGGGTAACAGTAGCTAATTTGAAAAATAAATAAATATTCAAGCCTAGCTAAAACAAATTGGTTATTAGTTATTAGTTATTACCATAGTAAGTACCTATCAAATAATAAAGTTAAAAATACCTACCTATAGATTATAGATACGACATTGAGGTTCGGTAAACATATTTTATAAGACAATGTAAACATAGTAAAAATATACAAAATTAAAAATTAAGGCGTTATAGCCTATAGGTACCTACTATACAAAATTGAAGGTACAATTTTTGTGCATATAGAAATAACCACTGAAAAAAATATAAAGTTTTTATATGGAACTAATAAAAGTGTTTCTTTTGATGAAAATACTTTACACAATTATATCAGACCGCGAATACATGCCCACATATTATACCTATAGTACGCTATACATATGAATCAATAAATGTTAAAATTTGACTTCCTAGAATTTTCAAATTTTACAGGAGAAGTAAAAAATCTTTAGGTTACCAAAAACTGTATTATTTATATTTATGCTAGTGGCAGTGGATCGACCTAAAACCTACACTAATACTTTGGGATTTTGAAATAAAACATTTCATTTCTACAGTACCTACCTATGATGAAATTGAAATTGTTGGTGTAGCAGAAGTCCCCTTTCTGCATCAAATGGTTAAAACATAGATATATTATATTCTAAACAACAGATTAAAATAGCCAACAATTGATTTTTATTAGGTACCTACTTTAAGTGATAAATATTAAATAACAATGTTTAAATATCTATGTTAACAAGATTTATTCCTGTTGAATATCCTCTCTACTCTCAACTAGATTCACTCTCCTACCAGAAAGGAAGCTGTTGAAGAAAATTAAAGCAATTTTACTGTCCCAAAAGGTGATGACAGACAAATAAAAACATAAAACACACATCATTGTAAAATCAATACATTGAACATTCATGATTCATCTCTCCACTCTGAATCTATAAGTGATTATCCATCTATATTCTATATAATATTGTGTATAATATATTATTATGATTCCAAATCGGTTTCACATAAGTCATTTTTCCTAATTTAAATATACCATAGTGTCATAGTGAATTAATCTACAATCACATCATACTCATAGGTACAATTTGGAATTTTGGAAGATCCAATTATTTATTTATGTTAAAATCACAAAAACTAATTAGTTGGTAGTTAAAATCATATTCACATTGACACAAATAGGTGTAACTTGACCCCCCCCCCCCCAAATGTCGGTCAAGTCCCCCCCCCAGTTCTAAGGGACCTACCCGCTTAAAATATGGGAAACAGATCCTCATTAAAATTTTAGATTTTGAACACAGAAAAGAATATTTGTTTTACAGTGTAGTGTGATTTTTTTTAAAAATATTGTTTAATAGGTAATTGCTTAATTCTCTCTCCGGAAAGATACATTTGAATTTATATCACGCTTAAACCTTGCGTATAATATTCATCATATAAGTTTTCTTTTTAACATATTTATGTAGGTACTTCAAGAATAAATAACACAAAATTATATAAATCTATGCAAATTAATATTAATTAAAAAAATTTCAAACAGAATAATACTATATAATATATATATAAATATAAAATACTATTATACCAAATTATATTATTATGAAATACTGTTATTAAAATAATTAAAATTATAAAATTTTAGTAATTCACAAGTAAACAAATTTCTAACCACAAAATTTTGGCGCTCCTAAAATACTGGCGCCCGGGGTAGTTGTACCCATCGCAGCACCCTCCCCTAAATGCAGCCCTGCTCTCTAGATGCTCTTGGGTACGTTAAATCTCTTCCCGTATTTATGTTCGTGAGTTACGAAGTTCAGTATTTTCTGGATATTCTAGATATTCTGGATAATGTGTAATTTTATATGATCAAAATGATGATTGATTATAGTACTTTCAAAAAAGGTAGGTACATTTGCCATGATTACCTATAGTGTTATAAATAACATAGTATTTAATAAAGTTTTAAAATTTACTTTTTTCGAGGTAGATTTGTGGAATAATCTGAGTATGCATAAAATATTATAAAATACATAAAATTGTGAACTTCAAAAGGATTAATAACTTCCCAAAAGTCGTATTGGACCTAAACTGCATGTATTATAACTGCTGTTATTAAAGTCTAAATCATTATTAGCAAATACATTAAAATTATGAATATTATAATATCCTTTAACTTTTATTTTGGTGTGCATGTGTGTCCGCGACTTAGCTTTTTGTAGCAAGATAAATGTTTTAACCTTCAGCTTTGAACCTTGTTTCATAGTAAAACATGAAATATAAGAATTGAAATTTTCTACTTTATAATTTTTTTTTCGTTGTAGGTTTTTAATTTAGTTTGTGGAAAAATCTTGAAAATGAAATAACAAAAATCCGTTATTTTGTTGTTGGTATTCCAAAAATATTATTTGTAGTGACCTGAATCTTTTCAAGATTTCGTATATTATTATGTACTATATACACAACGAAATTTTAAAATATGTAAATTAATATTAAATACTCGCATATAATAACAATAGGTATACGTTAACTTAAAAATAATAATTGATAATATTTAAGTATGTTAGGAAGGTAGGTACTACCACAAATTATAATATTGTATTACATTAGTTACTATAGTACTATAGCTATATACTATAATATATTAGATACACACATTTATATTATTATTCAATATTACTGCAAAAATTAA